ACTTATGTCAATATTCAGGGAAATTTCTTCTGTTACTAGAACCATGATAGAGGCCTTTCTAAAAAAGCAGATCTTGCCATAGCTTTCCATATGTTGGTAAAGATCTGAAAATTCAGGGTTGCCTAACTGCTATAATGGGCCATCAGAAGCAAGATTAATGGAGAAGCCATACAGCATCATCACCAGGAGAAGATTCATGGTGAAGGATTTTTTTTTTAGTGTCAAGGAGCATCATGGCATCATTGGAAAGGCTACAGAATTCCCCCCAATGTAATACCACCCACACTCTTCTCCCTGTTCAATTCTGCAGCCAGCTCACCATCCAACTCTCATGACTATCCATGACATAAGTAATAATGGACTAATGTCTGCCACTCATTCCACCGAATGTCAAAATCTAGACAATGACATTATTACTCATCTCTTCAAGTTTTCCTATGTAGAACATTATGCTGATTTCTGAGTTGTTCTAAATCTTGAGGAAGCTCTTTAGCATTCCAGAACTAACATAATTTGTGTAATACTATCCAAAGACAAGAGCATTAAGAGAACCTCACACTCTATAAAGAATCTCTCTATGTACATACTGGGCCTAGGACATCTTCAATCACAACAGTAAACAAGGTATATGTGGTTCAGTTTTATGCCTGACTTAATAATCAGAGAATGTAGCTGCATGAATCAAGGAATCTTAAATATGCTTAGTGAATATGGAGTGGTATCTTACAGAAGGAGAGCCATCGAGCCTACATTTTGCAAGACTGAGCAAATTGTTTTTAAAATTATCAACAAACAATAAACACTACATACAATATAGTGCTTTTACTATAACATTCAACCATGTAAAAATAAATCTCCACAAAATCTAATTTCTCAACTTCACATTCCAGTTCAGATTTTCATTACCTCTTGCCTAGAATTCTACAAAAGCTTCCTAATTTGTCTCTGTAATTCCAGTTTCACCCTCCTTTAACCAGTCCCTAATGGAACTACCAAAACAGTATTTCTAAAGGACAAGTTTTTTTTTTTTGTTTTTGAGGGTCATAAGTCAACATTTATTATTTAAGTTGAAGAACAGGTTATGAAGGGGGTCGGGGGGAGCCCTAGGGGAGAAGAAAGAAGGAAGGAGACCGGGAGACAAGAAGCTCTCCTGTGTGTCTGCTCCAGATGGGGTTAATCCTGATTTCTGAGCCGTGGTCCAGGGCACACAATGAAGCACAAAGTAAGATGAGGTTCCAGGGGCTACAGGTTGAGGAAACATCAAGAGGTGGCCAAAGTTACACATCCAACCAGAGGTGAGGGCTAGGACTCTCCTTGGATCAGCAGCACCGCTTCCTTTTAGGAACTAAAGCACAGTGGTAAGTTCCATCCCACTTATTTCAGCTCTTGTAGTTAAAGTCTTTGTGCTAACGAATTCTTTCATAGCCTCTCTAACTTCGTGTACTTTGCTTCCAGTTTCTTTGAATATGCATTCAACTTGTAAGCTGCCTGCTTAAGAGCTGCTACTTGCTCCTCAATTAAAGTTATCTGATCCAGATAAGGCTGAAGTGCTGCATATTTCTGGTTAAGTCCTTTAGGTTTCTACTTATGTTTACTGCAATATCTTTCATTTCTAGATACTTCAAGCTAGTCAGTTTGTTCATATTTTCCAGAAGTTTATAGTCTTCACTGGTGGCTGTCAGCTCGCCTGTTAGGTACGTGGCCATTTTGGAGAACATGTCCTGGCACAGCCCCATGATGTCCTCCTCGGCAGGCTCCATGGCCTCCTCAGCAGTCTCCACCATGGCATCGTCTCGTCTGTGGCAGCCATGCCTGAGCCTTCTTGGGCCCCGCAAGCAGCAAAGGACAAGTTTAATTATATTACCATCCTGCTCAAAGATCTTCACTGGTTGATTACTGCCTCAAAGATAAATACTAACACATTAGTCTGACATTTAAGATCCTCTACAATCTGGTTCCTACCTTCTTCCTGCCTTATTTCACATTTCTACCCTTCTTTACTATAACAACAAAAACAGGACTATTCCCTGAATTCAATATTTCACCTCCTTACCTAAAACATTTGCAAGAACTGTATCTCATCCTTTGAATGTATTCATTCTTCATGTCTACCTTTCAGGATGCTTATCTTCAATCAATCAATATGTATTTCACTGAGTATCTATTATGTGGAAGTCACCATACTAGCCACAAGGTATAGAAAGGCCAAAATGAAATGGTCCCAGACCTCAAGAAGCTTACATTACATTGGAGGAAAATAACGGGCACACGTTAATATTATACAAAATAAATTCAAGGTAATTTGGGGAGAGAAGGCACTAGCAGCTATGGGAGTAGGGAATCAGAAAAAACCAGGTAGCAAAAGTGAGGAAAGAATACTTTCCAGGCATGGAGGATAACCAGTAGAAAGGCACAGAGATAGAACACAGTGTCAGCTGTGAAGAATACAAAAAAAGGCCAGTTTGATTGGACTGAAAAATGTGAAAGGGAGGAATGCATAATAAAGCCAAATAGAGAAGTTTGTACTTGAACCAAGAAGAAATTGGGAGATACTGGAGTTTACTGAGTAAGTCAATGAAAACGTCAGACTTATTCATTAAGAAAATTACTTTGGCCGCTATGTGAATGATAGCTAGGAATGAGAAGAGACTTGAGACATGGAGACCAATTAGAAGACTATTTCAATAATCAAGGAGAGAGATGATGAACTAAAATGGTAGGCTTGTGAGCAGAAAGAGAAGATGAGAGAGATGTTGTACATGTAGAATCAACAAGATCTGACAACTGACTAGTTATGTCAGGGGAGGAGGGGTCAAGAATGAATGCAAGGTTGAGAACCTGGGTGACTAGAAAGAGGATGGCAATAACCTTAATAGAAATAGGAACAATGAAGACTCAACTGAGGTACCACATTCTCCATTTATCTTTCCGATGTACCAAGTTGTTACTATTTGCCTAGAGCACTTTATCTAATCTTTCCTGTGTCCCCCTCACTCCCTACCTTGTATTATACTTATCTGTGTATATGTTGTATCCCAACAAAAGAATATAAGTTTAAGGCAAAGACTATTTTATTTTTATCTTTATATTTTCAGTGTCTTATACATTACAGATGTATGTTAACTATTGAAATATATTACTCTGATATTGAACTTGTCTTTTATGCTACATATGCATACATGCAAGCATGAATATTTGTTTTGAATTCCATCCCTTATTAAAAATATGAAAACAATTATAACAAAATTTAAAATTTCTTATAAATCATAGTATGTGTTGGCAACTGTTTCAAAATCTGAACCAAAAATATATTATCTAATATTACTCTTACATTAATTTTAAGTTCTTATTCCCAATATACCTAACTTTCCAGTACATCAGTCTATTTTGTTCTCATACCCTACTGATGACAAAAACTCCAAATTCATCCTTTGTGTCCCTTTTTAAAAGATAAAAATATTTGTTCTTATGTTGATATCTACTGTTTTATAATATAAGTTTTTATCTGGCAGGAGCCACTTAGCTTATACTGAATAACAGCTAGGACAAGATAATGCACAAAGCAGACATTTTATCATTTTTACTTTCTGACAATGACTTTTAAATGTTGTTTTATTTTAATATTGCAAAGGGAAGACTGAAGGGGAGAGCATAAGAGCAATACTCAAATTACTGAAGTATTATCACATGGAAAAGGAATTAGACCTATGCATTAGTCTTCAGAGGTCAGAACTAAGATTAAAAAGTAGGAATTATGGGAAACTAAATTTCAACTCAATATACAAAAATATGTCCTAACATTTACAAAACATCCAGAAAAAAAAGAACTACCTTAAGAGGCAATAAATTTCTGATCACTGCAAGTCCTTCAAAAAGAAGTTTAATGACTATATCAAATATGTTACAGATTCAAATAAGGGGAAGTATTAGCCTACATAACTTCTTTATGCGCTTTCCAATTGCAAATTTCTGATTCTATGAAGTAAATTTTTAGTGATAACTATATAAATAAATGATAATGTCCATAGATAGAATGTACTTCCTTGAGAGGCAGCACATTTCTCATCATTATAGAACTTTACGAAGAAGCTGAAGGACTCCATCAGAGACATTATAGATTCGTACAATGGGGAAATCTTACACCATGACTTCTTTAGGTCCCTTCCAACAGTGAAATTCTGATTCTATGAATTAAAATTTTTATTGATACACACTGCCCTGTAGACTACATATATGTATGTGATCACAATAGTGAATGTATGTCATCATAATTGTGAATGTTACTGTTCAATAGTTAGAAATTCTTTGAATAAGCAAAAAATTTTGGGTTCAAAATCAGATGTTTCAGTAAATCTAAACTATGGCGAAAGGGCTATTCAGACCAGAATTTATGATAAAGATCAAAATGCTATTTCAAATGAATTAGAAAAGTCTACTGAAGATATTTTATTATGAATCTTTTTGTAAATAACAATCTGTGAAATAACCGTCAAATTCACCTTCACAATAAAAAAAAGTAAGTAAACACAGCACATCTTTCCATTCAACGTTGTGTTAAGTCTTTGATCTTAAAGTTCATCCTCTTTTTGTGCTTATTTGTAATAAAAACATTTTTACTGGAAAATATGGATATCTATAGTACAAGAATTCAGGAGTTTGAAAAAAGTGTGTGTGTGTGTGTGTGTGTGTGTGTGTGTGTGTGTGTGTGTGTG